TTCTGGCAGATAGGTGATATCACTCATTATAGGTTAGGAAACAGAGAGGCGAAGCGACTTGATCAAGTTCATACAAATGCTAAGAGGCAGAGCCATGCTGTAAACCCGAAACGAGATGATCTTGGGGCCCACGTCTGAACCGCCTCAGCAGCCACCAGCCTTCCACGACCCCCACGAGGCGCTGTCTGCTTCGAAGCGATACTGGAGCACCTTCTGCAAGATACACTCAGACTGTTCATAGTGGAGGGATTCTGTTGTTTTTACCCGAGCATTTATGGAGTGAGAATGCACATAATGAAAAGTGAGAATTCAATAAGTGGAACCTAAGAGACCTAAAGAATAAATATTTTAAAACCAGTGCAACTCATGTGTAGCTGATAATACAGAGTTCTAGTAATTAGCACGATGAAAATCTATTTAATTCAATTTCCTTCTGGGAAGCACTTTAATGAAGAGATTAAACTCTTGTTTTAAGTTCTGGGTTATCAATCACATATAAATGTATGTTTTTAATCTGTTAAGAATATTTTAAATTGATTATATTTAAAAACTCCTCTTCGTAAATGCAATACACTGTCATTATAGGAAACGTAGACATGTCAGAGGAGGACCAGCTAAAAAAAGAATTCCTAGAAAATGTTGCCAGGTGTAATGTTGAAAGATTGAGGCCGCCAGTGCCATGAAAGAATGCTGAGGTCATAGTCAAGAGCCCTGGGTTCTAATCCTGCCCGGCCCAGAGGCCAGTCCAGTGATTTGGCCAAAGGTCTCCCCTCTCTGAGAAATGAAGCTGGGGCAATTGGAACAAGATGCTCTTTAGGAGCGTTTCCTGCTCTGATGTGAAATAGAATTCTATTTTAGATGTTTTACCAGCACTCATGTTTACACTTTCCATTTCCTCGGCAAATGCATGTCACCAATGTAAGAACGTTTCTTTCAGTCTCTAGCAGAACTGTCATTTTTCTAGATGAAGTCGGCCTGAATTTATGATCATTAGACTATATTTATATGTTCACGAATTCTCCCATCTATTCATTTGTTTGTTTAACAAATGCTTTGCCTACCCTTCATCAGGCACTGTACTTACTAATTGCTAGGATATAGAGATGATTAAGAAAAGGTTTCTGCGATCAAGAAACTCCCAGGTTAGTGGGGAAAATAGGCAAAAAAAAAAAAAAAAGGTTTCCCTCTCCCATTGACATAGGCATTACTATAGTGAAATACACCCCTCACTTACGCATGTGCCAGGCAGTGCAGCAGGTGTTGGATGCAGCTGTGAGCAAGAGGGGTGCAGTCCCCTCTGTTGCAACCAGAGGAAGGGAGCATGGGCAACCTGGGAACCCTGAGTCCCTGGAGCTCGCCTTGAATAGCCTGGCTGCCCTGCATGAGCAGAGGCAGGACTGAGGAAGGGCCTCGCCCGGGGAAGGGCTTCATCCCCAGCTCTGGCTGTCGGAGGTTTGCATCTTGCAAGAAGGCAATGCTCGGTTGCAAACAGTGGAGAATAGGCTAAGCCAGCGAAATGGGCAACGGGAGTCAGTAAAGCCGACAGCCACAGCGTTGATGGAAATCTTGCTGCAGACACCTGGCCCGACTGCTAAGAGGGATCAGAGCTGAGGCTAAAACTAACACTGTCCAGAAAGCAGGGGTTAGGGGTTGGGAAGACAACACAAACAACTGACTCCCGGTGCTCCGAACTGAGGAGCATCTACTCTAATGGCCCATTTTTCAGATGGGGAAACTGAGGCCCAGCAAGGCGCAAATTACTTGTACAGTGTCCCTAGAGTTAATATGTCAGCATGGAGCAGAATTCAGTGAAAGGGAAAGGGGAGGAGACTAATGTATCTGCCTGAACCGCGAGCTTTGCCTTTCGCTACTTCAACGTATTCGCACATCAGCTCTGTGGGAGTGACGTTACTGCCACCCCCATTCTACAGATGACAAAACTGAGTCCCGAAAACGTAAGGTCAGTTTCCTAAGGCCACACGTCCAGGGAGAGAGAAAGTGAGGCCTGGAACCCGGGCCTGTGTGCGGCCTGCATCCCCGCGCTTTTCCCTCCCCGCTTCCTGTTCCCCAGGCAGCCTGCGGGGCCCTCCGGGGATGCCTCTCATTTGCAAAATACATATTTGCTGTATAATCAGTGTCAGTAATTAATGATCCATTCCGAGGCAGGGGAAACTTGCCTAGTAAGCACAGGAGGAAGAAAGAAAGAGAAAAATAGAGCAGCACCCTTTTCCTGGGTAGATTTTTCATGCTCACTAATAGTCCCCGAAGGAGGGAAAATGACCTGTGCCCTTTCCTGCAGAGCCCCTGACAGGAGAGACAGGTGCCCTTTCCCGGCAGCCCTGCTCGCCCACCCAGCCTCACATCCCGTCCCTTGGCCAGAGGTAACCATTTTACCTCCCCCATTATGAATCATGAGGACTGTGGCTTGTGACAGGTCATAAATCAGTCCTGGGAGTCTCGAGGACAAATCCCAGGACTTTTCATCTTTAATATTAGACGTGTTTAAAGTGGTGAATATTTCATGAAGGGACTGTTGCATTTTAACACATCATTAGCGACTCCTCTCCCTCCCACGTTGGCAGATTACTCTCATCCAAATCTCAAGGATCTCGGACCTCTCTTCCATTATTTTTACCTCCAGTAACAATCACAAGTCCATTAGGTTGCCCGTAATAACAGCGCCCGCGTTGAGTGGAAGACCCGGGGCATGACGCTGGAGAGAGTTACAGGGGCCACCCCTGCCCGCAGACTAGGTGTCCAAGGAAGGGGGCAGTTGGATCTCACTCTCTCTGCGTCTCTCCCTGTGTCTTTTAACAATCTTAGATACTCTGAATATTTTTAATACTATCTCCGACTGATTTTTCACCCCATATTCTGTCTTATTACCTTGTTCAACGAACATTTATTAAGCCCAGGCCGATTGCCAGATGTTTGCAATGCCAGAGGTACAAAGATTAAGCAGCACTGTAATATATAAAACAGGTTAGAGTGTTTGTTAACACTCAGAATGCTTTGTGTAAGGTCAAATGCGTAACATTTACAGTGAATCGGTGAAAGCAATAAGGTTGTTTGAGGAATGCAAACATTGTGAAATCGGGAGTCATGGGTGAGAGTTGTAGAACCCGTGTTACCCTAGCATCATATCGCTGCCAGGCTTTGTTTGGGTTGCACAAAGGTGAGAAAATCCTGATTCATAAGACATGCAGTTGTAAATAGCATGAGCTTGTTAGCGCCTCGACTCGCAGTCTCAGTATCCTCTGCCATGAAGCAAAGATGACAGGAGATTTTTTTTTAATGAGGCCTGCATAAAACATAACCTGAATATTCTCTCCATTGTCCTAAATTCTAGCTTGTAATAGCTGAGTGTTTAGTTTTTACTTTTAAAGAAATTTAAAAGTAATTTTTCTTGAGAAAATTAAAATCTGAACGTTACAAAGTTCCTAAATCTCCCCCATAGAACTATATATATTCCTGAGAAATGTGGTTTGAAAACTCTCAGAGCAGATCAAATAGAATGCCTGTCGGACTGAAGAATTGCAGTTCATCTGGGCGTGTGCGTGAAGGCGATCGCCAGAAGACCAGGAAGAAGGCAACCTGACAGCAGTAGTCTGGAAACTTATCAGAGCCATAGCGTAATTATTCATTCAACCCACAGTGTTGAACATCTACTCTGTTCCAGACAGTGAGCTAAACCAGGGCACTTCCCACCAGCATTTTCCAAGGTTTGTTCCACAGAACACTAACCCTGTGACTTGTTGCATCAGCCAGCTTCCCAAAGTGAAATACGTTTAGGGGAAACTATCAGTATCACCCTCGTGCAGAATCACACTCTACTGGCTCTGAGGAATGGTACCATGTTTCCCAAACACTTTTTTTTATAGAATCTATTTTTGGTAAAACATCTGTGAACATTTTACAAATGCACCTTAGGAAAACCTAATAACTAATTGGATCAAAACCCTAAGGAGTGTAGAGTGGAGCAGGACAGATAATAGCAAAGGGGTAGGACAGAGAGTTTCTGAAAACCCTTCCAGGATTCTGAACTTCGGGCATATACTAGGAAATGAATCATCTACTGACCAAATCAAATGGGCATGGCCAATGGAAGAATACACTTAAGGGTGCTAGCAAGAATTCGTGCATCCAAGCATAAGATGTGGCGAGAGAAAAATGATGCATGGATACGTGGATGGATGAATGGATGGACGCATGCATGCATGAGTGGAAGGATGCATGGATGGGTGGATGCATGGATGCATGGATGGATAGATCCATGGATGGATGGATCCATGGATGGATGGATGCATGGATGGATGCATGCATGCATGGATGGATGCATAGATGGGTGGATGGATAGGTGGGCAGATGGATAGGTGGGCAGATGGGAGGGAACAAGAAGGGAAAGGAGGGGAGAAGATGAGAGGAAAACCAATTAAAATAAGCAAACAACAAAAATAAATAAAATCTGGAGATTGTAAATGAAAATAATTTTTCCAAAAGGGGAAATCAAGAATATTTGGAGGCAGTGACATTTGATTTGGGGCTTACGAATGAACATGGATTATTTATTCAGGTGGAGAGAATTTAACTTTCTGATTACACTTTTAGTACAAATGTACTTTATCATGGCGTAAATATTTGAATACGAGCCCTCCGTTTGTGGCCACTGGGTCACTTTCTGTTTCCCTCATTAAGCCAGGAGCTCTTTCGGCATCTGGGTTTTACCTTGATTTCTGTATCCCCAGCAGAGAACCTGGCAGGGATTGAGGTCAGGATTTGATGGATGAATGAATGAATGAATGAATGAATGAATGAATGAATGAACAAATGAATAGATTTGTTATTAACCACCATGGTGGGTAGACCAGAAAGCCCTCTTTCCATGGGCCTTTTCTAAAGCAAAGCAACTTGCTTTACTTTCTAAGAAAACAAGGAAACCAGGGGGAGACTATGTGAAGCAGGCAGAATTTCACAAAACTGTTTTCTCGTTTTGCTTACAGGAGAGTGTAGCTGTCATGAAGGCTATGCCCCTGACCCAGTTCACAGACATCTGTGTGTGCGCAGTGACTGGGGACAGAGTGAAGGGTGAGTGACAAAGGACACTGGGGCAGGGACAGCGGAGGGCCATCCTCACCTCCTCTGTTCTGTTACCAGAGGCCCCAAACCGCTCTTCCTCTGTCACAGTTTGATTTCTGCAAAACCCAGTGGAAAGTGAACCCTATTTCCCAGCGAATCCCATTTTAGTATTAAAGGCACTTGATGACTCTCCCAGAGATCAAATGCTGAAGGTTAACACCCGTCCCAAGCCGTAAGCCATGAAAGAAGACTTTCTTAAGTGGACGGGTCCTGGAAGAGAGGCAGGGTTTTGTACATGACCCCAGGATGGGCAAAGGGCCTTTAAAAGGGCCGAGTCCTTCTATACAATGGAGACACTCTTTTGTAATATACACAGTCTTGCCCAATAATTACCTGTGCAAAACTGGGCTGTTTATAAAGCTGCTCTGAAGCAATATCCACGCATGAATCCTCCCGACTCCTCACTAATAGTATCTCCTGTCTCCTTTTCTTTGCCGCCTTCTTGCCCTGCAGGCCTTGGCCTTACACAACACTTGAGAGGGGCTACGACTTGGTGACGGGGGAGCAAGCCCCGGAAAAGATTCTCAGGTGAGTTGAGAATCCCGTTGGGGCCTGATGCTGGGGAGGGGAGGGGGCTTATGGGGCAGTGTCGTCACGCCTCCTTAGATGATGGAACCTGTGCACCTCTGGGCTGTAGTGAGTACAAAGGAGCCCTCGCTGGCACAGGTGCACCGTCCTCGCCCAGGTTACTGTGGCGACCTGTTCTTGTCTGCCCGCCACCTAGACTTAAAGACTCAAGCACTTAACCTGGAAGCGACATTACTGATTATGTCGTCGAGAGGTTTGAAACATATTCTATAACTATAGAACCTGCTCCTGCTACCCCCATGAAATCTCACGTGAAACATCAACACTTAAGCTGATAAAGACATCATGGCAAATTAAGCGGCCGACTGGGAATCAGATTTGGGTTCCAGTGGATTCAGAGTGCAGGCTTTTCGCCTCTGCTGACTGCCCTGCTGACTAAGCAGTCACCTCTGGAGCCCTGCTGGCTCCCAGGACCGCTGGGGAAGGCGGAGCCGAGATGGTCCCTGTCCTCGCAGAGCCCACTGTTTACTAGGAGTCAGGACCTATGTGCACATGGGCTGCGTGATGAACGGGATTAAGAAATGCCCAAGTCTGAGTACAGCTGGTGCCTTGGAGAATGCAGGGGACTCGGTTGGGTGGGGAAGTAAGAAGGGTCCGGGAGGGGACGGGAGGAGGGACCCGATTCTTCTGTTCTCACTCTGCTTCCTGGGGAGTCCCCCAATGGAAACTCTTACATTGCAGGTCTACTTTCAGCTTGGGCCAAGGACTCTGGCTTCCTGTCAGCAAAAGCTTCGTGGTGCCGCCTGTGGAGCTGTCCATCAACCCCCTGGCCAGCTGCAAGACCGACGTGCTCGTCACGGAAGACCCCGCAGACGTCAGGTAGGGAAGCCATCCCCAGCATCCCGCAGCAAGGACTTCTTGGAGCAGGGAAGGCCCCTCTGCTCCAGGACCTCAGCAGCTCCTGTGATGAAGGGCCCTTCACGGGGCGGCTGCCTTGAGGCTGATGTAAAGAACTCTGTTCGCTATGCCATGGTCCATGCTCCGAACAGCGCCCCCCGCTGGTGGGCCTCCATGCTTGTATTTCAACATCATTCCTCTCCTTTGGGGCTTTTATAAAATATGAGAGAGGCTAACACATCATCTGGCACATCATGGGATCATTAGTGGTCATACCTTATAAAAGACCATTACTGAAAATAGTACATTGGAGCGTCACGGAAATGAAAGATTGGAGCATGAGATGGTCTCTGTGGTGACTCTGGTTGCAGACTGTGGGCTACTTCGTAGGTTCTAATTATCCAGGTCCCATTTATTTGTTCTTTCCTCGTGAAAGGATGGAGACCACGTCTCTCCTTATACATTTTATACCCCGTAGTTAACTTCATTATAGACTTCCTCTTCTGTGCTCTAATCAGTTGCTTACATATCATTCTGTCCGATTATGTGGAGAATCTCTTAAGGTCAAAGAAATAACTTATTTAGCTTTTTAATCCCCAGTTCCCTGCACATATTGGACATCTACTAAGTGTTTATTGATTTAATTAAACCCGTGGTCTTAGATCTGATCCTACTGCTATTTTGGAGCTGTCTGCTGGAGTTTTTTCTTTTTTCTGTTTCCCAGTTTGATTAGGAGAAGCATTTTAGAAATGTAAATGTTATTAAAAATGGACTCAGATAGCACTTTTGGGATTGGCTTGTACACACTTACTGGCTGCTGACCTGGAGCGTGGAGCCGTGGTGATTCATGCTCCCAGCGATTATTATTCTGCCGCTGGACAGCTGCCTTCGGGTCCTTCTGAGTTGAGATGTTGTCATATGTCCATGGCGTCTGGGTAGGAAGCCCCTAGAACCCAGCTCTCCTGCTTTGCAATGTGTTTATTCTAGTCTTTTCATGGGGGGGATGAAACTGACATGATTTTTCAGGTTATTAGTATTTTCCCAAAGAGATAGCTTTAAAAAAAGAACAGATTACAAAAGGGATAGCCTTTAGGAAATGAAGTGGTCGTTATGAAGACCTAAGATGGTTTCAGGCACGCATAAATTAACTAATGGTAGATTGTTGTTATTTCCATTTTTGATAGAGCTGAAGTAGATGAGACCTTCGTAAAGCATGTAGTGAGGTTTCTCTGCATTACATATTTTAAAGATGGAGCAAAGACCATCTGGTTGAAAGACTCCTCTCAAAGTCATCCAGTGAGCTTGCCTGAAATCAACTGCAAGTTGGTCTCAACTAACTTTCCTCAGGGTTCTATATACTTGACATTGAATTTGTGAATCCAGTGAAGCTAAAGCTGTCAGACTGACGGTGCCGATCCTCACCCTGGGCTAGAATCCCATCTCTACCCTGTATGAGCTTTGTGATCCTGGTCCCACTGCACTGGCCGAGTTTCCGTTTCTCTGCAAAGGGGGATAACAGTGCCATCCTCACAGAGTGTAGTGATGACTCATATCCATTGATCATTCCTTATGTGCCCAACACCTTCTGAACCTCTCATTGCATCCTGTGTCAACCCCATGAGTTGATGCGATTGTTATTATTTTCATTTTACAGAGTAAAATATAATCTGAGGCATGAAGGCGATGCCTTCCCTAAACGATGAAGCCAAGTTTCCACCCAGATCTCTCCAGTTCTGGAACCTATGTTCCTAACTATTTCACCGAAACACTTCCCAAGAGTTATGATTAAATAATATAGGTAGAGGCTGGTACACATCATTTTTCGATGGATTGAATTCCCACTATGGCCAAGTTCAAGTAGCAACTGGTGATGGTGGGGAAGGCAGTGTTGGGAAGGCCGTGTACTAGGTCATGCAGCTGAGAAAGACCATGATCTTCAGGATAAAAGAGCTCATTGTTCTCCAACCTGAATTATGTTAACTAGCTAGCCAGCCAAGGAGGGGCCCAGGATATCAACTTTCGGGGACTCTAAAACTTCTTTGGAAATGTAAAAAAAATAAGAAAAGTGTAAGTAGTAGAATGCACTTCAGGGAGAGTACTGGATGTAGTTGGAAGGGATACTGTAGTACGTGGACAGGGGTGAGACCTCTAAGGGGCCTGGTCCAATAGCAATTAGACGCGTCTGAGCTCCAGCTAAGGATGCTGTGCCTGGTTACGTGGAGGCTGTGCTTTCATCAAGTTGGGGCCAGAGCAGAGTTGCTCAGGACTGCAGTGGGGATGAAAATCTGCAGCCACGGGCCCCCCCTTCTCAACCCTTTCTGGACAAACCAGTAAACATCTCCTTCAAAGAAAAGTATAAATATTCCAAAAGTATTGGTTTGATTAGGGCACTAAGTGATTGTCCTGCTCGGGGTACCCACAGTGCCTTTGCCTGGGCTTGAAGCACCTACAGGCAGCCTTTTAAGTTTCCTCTTGATTTTACCTCTCGCATGCCCATTAGATTCACTGCGAGGGTGGCAAAACGATGGTGATCACCACCATTCAGAAGAGCCTGTGCTGTGCAGGCTGAGGTTTTCAAGTTGCACAGATAAACCTCGTTTGACACGCTGTTGCCCAGACGAGCCTATCATGGGCGCTTAAAGAATTAATGAGTTCTAATCAGATGCTATGTTAGAAATTAATAAATGATAGATCATAATTATAGATAGCCGATAATATGCCTCAGGATCTCAGCAGAGAGGTGAGAAGAAAGGCTGTGGGAAAGCAGAGTCACGGAGAAAAAGATAAGCCTTCGGGTAGGATTGGAAAGGAAACCGTAAAGGTACTTTGCTAGTTTGTGTTTTTTTTGTGTGTTTTAGTCTGTGACAGAATGTTACCTAAGTATCGAATCTCCAGTCTCACTCTAGGGGAGGCAGAGCAATTAAGCCGTCAAATGCACCGGCTGCCCTTCCTAGGTGGCTAAATTTAAAACAACCGACAATAACAGATGTGGGCGAGGACAGGGAACAACTGGAACTCTCACACCGTTCCAGTGGGAACATAAGTTAGGATGACCGCTTCCCCAACCTGCGGGGCAGTGTCCACTTCAGTGTCCACATACCCTATAGCCCATCAGTTCCCCTCCAAGTAATACACCTAACAGAAACGTGTATGAGACATTCAAGAACACTCATCTGTACTGCTAAAAAGCTGGAGGAAGTCCACAAGTTGACAGAAAAAGTAGACATATGAATTATGGACTAATCATACAATGGAATACTATGAATGATGGATATTAAAGAACACAACAGCCACACCCATCACTGTGGCTGGCTCTCACAAATGTAACATTGAATTATGGAAGCCAGACACAAAGAATATAATTAATTTGGGTGGGGAGCTAAAAGTTACATGCAGATTTTCAACTGTGTGGGGGTGTCCGGGGGGCGGTACCTCTAACCCCTGTGTTGTTGTTCAAGGGTCCACTATATATGTTTATGTAAACTTCAAAACCAGTAAAAACTAATCTATGAAGTGAGAAGAAAGGGTAGGGATTACATTTGTTGGATGGAGGGGGCAGTGATGTGAGGAGCTCATGAAAAGTTTTATGTGATGCTGATAATAATTCTTGATCTGGGTGGTGGGTGCACGCACGGGTGTTTTCCATCTGTAAAAATGCGGCAGGCTCTGCAGATATGATTGCACTATTTTCTCTCTGCATGCTATATTTTGACTGAACATGATGATATAAGGCAGTTCATTGTTTTAAAGGCATGGGCTTTGGAGCTCAGCTGAACTGCCCCGAGTTCAGGCCCCAGCTCCACGCCCTGTGTCCTGCAGGAGCTGCTCTATAGGGTTTGCCCTCGTGGGGACTGCAGATAGTATCTCTGCCTGGCAGGGGGAAGGTGAAACTAAACGACAACATGTCGTGAAGCACTGAGTTTGGCACGCAGTGAACTCCAGAAGCATTCATTATTATGTTTGCTATTATTGTAGCCTAGTGTAGCATTTTTTTTTGGTTTTTTTGTTCCCTTCATCTTTCGAGCTCTTTTCTGTTTCTTTTGCTGAAAGGCTACATCCGATCTATGATGCATCTTAAAATCAATAGCGTCTTAGTATCGAGAGCTCACAGCAGTCCTTTGTCAGGGGGTTCGGGGAGACTTACATGAATATACAGATCTATACCGTGTGGTAAGTCTGGGGCTTTATGTGCATGCGGATATGAGCAGAACGAATGCGAAGGCACGTGTGCGGCACACACGGAGGGCCTCGGGGGGCTGCAAAAGGAAGAAAAAAATCCTGACCAAAGGCTTTAGGCAAGTATTTGCAGGAACCAGAACATTGGCAATTAACCTTGGATGTGGAGAGCGTTTGGCTGCGTGGAATCTGAGGCGGGAGGGAAGGCTTTCAAGCGTGTGAGTTGAAGGGCCGAAGACGCACGCTCTCCCCTGGACGGCTCCCACGCGCGGCGGGCCCAGCAGGAAGCTGTGGGAATGAGATTTTCAGCGTCCGAGGCTCTAATGGTGTCTGCTACAAAGGCACTGGAGCAGCGCGCACTCCAGTCGAATGGCATACGGCTTCTTTTCAATGCTGAGCACCTTCGCGAGGCCCCTCCTGTGTGCCAGACGCTGTGCCAGCGACTGTCGGGAAGCAGGTGAAGAAGGCCTCTCCTGGTGCAGCAAGGAGCATGGAACAAGAGGCTGGCTTGAGAGAGAATGAAAGGCCCTCGTGGAGAGAAGCGCGGCAGACGGCACTCACTGCTCCACGCTGGGCCCCCTTCACAATTTCAGGCGGAGCTGGTTCTTCTTACAAGAGAGATTCGAGACTAGCTGTTATCGTTGGAATAATAATCGTCCACAAAGCTCAGCTTTTGGAGCCCCTCAGTGATTTTTCTATTATCTCAAATCAATGAAAATGAAGTGGTGAAATACTGTTAAATCCCCGGCACGTTGTGGAGAGAATCACGGGGTATCAGAGCGCGAGCCAGCTTTGCTCACTTGGTG